AGACAGTGAGAGATCATGCTCTAAGATGGATATTCAAATCCAAGCCCTTGCCCCTTCTGATCCCTCATTTCTCCATGAAATGGAGGAGGTTGTTCAGTGCTCAGCGAAGCAAATAGAGTGGGTGGATCAAGTTTGCGCATAGCCTACTCAAGATCACCTTTTTGCTACCACACTAGAAGAGGTGGAGGATGAAAAGGACTACGGGGATGTTGAGTAGCATACAGAAGTTATCACAGACAACTCCCTTGATAATCATGATCAGGAAAGTACTCTGGTAGCATATCACACCTTTCCTCATTTATGCTCTAACATGTCGGGCCCGTGCGAGGAGATGCAAGATGATCCAATTGAAGAAATTGTTTGGCGACTTGCTCTCCAATATGTTTTGGAAGAAGAATAGAGAGCAAGGGTGAGGAAGGAAGTTGTGGAGGATGAGGAAGAAAGCATAGAAGAGGTAGTTCTTGATCTTTTCCAAGGGGAGAGATCACATTTTGAAGAAGGAAGGGGGGTTGAGGAAGAAACTGGCGTCCAAGCTGAGGATGAAGTTGAGGTGGAAGAGACCTGCAACAGGCATATGTTACATGTGATATCTCCACCAAACTTCGAGGAGCTTCTTGGCTAGGACCCATTTGCAGTGTCTCTTCGCCAGACCAAGACCACATCAACATCAATCCCTCTTGGTGGTTGCAATGGTGGTCAATCGATGATATCTTATCTGGTTTGGGGCAATGAGACAAGAGCAGACGCAAAGGAGAGGTCTCGAGAGTGGAGACTTCATCTTCCTCAAGGCCATGAGCCATCTTCATCACCTATCACATCACCTGCTTGTAACTTGAGACTCCACATCATCGACAAGAACCTTAACTTCAAGAAGGTTCTGGGGTGGACCAAAACTTAGGAGCCACTATCCAGCTAAGACGTAAAAGAAGTGCTTGTGAGGAGGCAACCCAACCACAATTTGTTTTTCTATTGTTTGTTTTCGGGTTTTCCACTTAGAACTATGGTTTTTATCACCCAGTGTGTTTTGATTACTCTAGCTCAATGGACTAGTCCCCCTTCCAGTCCGCCTGATGACTGGTCCCTTTTCCAGTCCCCCGGCAGTCCGTTTTCCGGGTAACATCCTTCCCCTCATCTTTCCCTCTATTCCATTGAGGGCAATGCCGTGCTTAAGTGTGGGGGGGGGGGGGAGTGTTTATCTTTGACTGCTTAGATGAGTTTGTGTGCTTGGAGCCTAGTCCACTGTCCAATTTGATGAATTGAGGGCTCCAAGTACTATTCCCTACAATATCTTGCTCTGTATGCTTTGAATTGGCAGTCTTTATGGTGATATGCAACCTAGGGAGGTAGTGTAGCACTATGGAGGATGTTGATGCATTTAAGAAGTTTCCTTTCTTCTTCATATTGTGTTGGTTGATTGTGTGAATTAGTGATCTTAGGAGGACCCTTGAATTGTGTGGTATTGAGGACTCTCTACCTATCATGGACTCCTGTACCATGTTTTGGAAAAAAAGATGTTCTAAATTGTGCTTTTAAAATAACGTCTCCCATGCGAAATTGGGAATTCGTTCCCAATTTCCACCTACTACCTCCAGCCCCTTACATTTCTTTTCCCGCACGAGGCTCGAGACATCTTCTCTCGGCATGGCCGGTAAGAGCTGCTCCTGGCATGGCCAGTAAGAGGCGGGCTCCAACCATCTTAAAGAAAAAAATAGAGCACCTTAAAAAATGGTGAGTCCATGATCTTTATGTTTTTGAGAGTCCCTGCGTCCACGATTCATTTGTCCTCTGATCATTATTTGCCATGATGCCGACTGGAGACTAGAGTTCTTGCCGAAGAAGCTAGGAGGTGTCTTGTGCGTCGACTGACCTCGTAAGTTGTTAAATGATCTAGGAAATCCTCTACCGACGATCAGGGGTGCATGTTGTTATAGAGGTCTGGAGAGCTGCATTGTTTTGAGTCAGGTTTGCTTGGGGACTAGCAAACGGTTAAGTGTGAGGGAATTTGATGACTTGATATTTACACATGTTTTTGTCCACCATTCTTATACTTTTTGAGCCTCGTCTCTCGTGTTTTAGGCTTATTTCACGCTAGTTTGTTCTTGTTTGTGATATTTCAGGTCCTAGTATGTGAAGGAAGGTTTGGGCACGAGTTCCGGGTCGATTGGACGAAGTTGGGACGTTTGGCGAGAAGCTGAGGAAACCACACGGCCATACCTAAATTCCACAAGACCGTATGACTTGGCCGTGTGGAACACCTTTACACAGGCAAAGCCATACGGGCCGTGTAAGGGCCCGTTTTGGCCGTGTGGGATGTCTAGAGAGTTCACACGGGCAGACCTAAATTCCACACACTAAATCGAACGCGGCGTTTTGGAGAGTCACACGGGCAGCTGGGGATTTCACACGACCGTGTGGCCTGGTCGAGTGATCGGGCACAATTGGGTTTTTAACCCAATTTCGGGTCTTTGAAGAAGGAGACGATTTTCAAGAGCAAAAAATAGAGTCCTAGAGAGAGAATGTGCTAAGAACAAACCCTAGGAGTGATTTTGGAGTTGGGTTTCATCAATCAAGCTTGAATTTTATCCCTGGAGTGAATATTATCATCCCTGAGCAGATTCTTCTCATTGATATGAGTATGACTGCTTTGTATTTTGTTTTCCTCTCTCTATGGAGTAGAACTCTTGCTCACTTGGGTATGAAGAACCCTAGTTCCATCTGTTAGGAATAATGATTGTAATGACGTTTGGATTGATATACTATGTGATTATAATCGATTGATGTATGATTCATTGAGTCAATTGAAGCCTGATAAACTTTTCTTGATTTTTGCTGCAACCTTAGATAGATAGAATCTGATTAGGTTGTTAGAGCTTCTTCAATCGGTAGTAGTGAATCGATTATACTAGAGTTAGTCGAATCACTGCTTTGTACTGGAATCCAATTCCAGTAGTGGAGTTCTGTATTAATTGTCTCAGAGTTCTATCCCGGTGAAGACTAGTCGTCTGCTGGGTAGTCTGTCTGAGTGGGCTTGGTCAGCTTAAGAGATTCCAAGCTACTGTCGGATCTCCCGCGGTTTAATCAAAAGTAAATCAACCAAAGGAAATTACAACTTTGACCTAACTAAGGAGCTAGGGGGACTCATTCGCGAGTGACTCTTCCCTTGCTTTAGAAAACCAAACAATATCCTGCTTTCTAACTGCTTTTGTTTGCAATCACTCTCACTACACTTAGTCCTGCTAAATAACAGGTAGTCACATAGTAGGCAGTATATCTAGACTCCGGGTTGATAAATTAAACTTGCCACTATTCTGCATTTCCATTCTGCGATTGCACTTGGTCATAGTTTGGTGTTGTGTTGTAGCGTGTCATTGCGCTTGTTTTGATACATTTCAGGTCCTAGCACATGTGGAAGGGTCGAGGACAAGTTTCGGGATAATTGGAGGTTAAAAAGCACAAAAAACCAAAGAAAAGTGAAAAGTGGCTGCTGTGACAATTGCCCCATAACAGTGAAGCGCAAGGGTCCAGGAAGCAGTCGCAGTTCCGTGAGCATCGAGGCGTCCAGCGACTAAGACCGTGAACTTGGAGCACAAACCGTGAACCCAGGAGAGTGAAGCGGTGAATTTTGGAGATGACACTGAGTTCACGGACGTATTTAGGTGTTCACGGCCGTGAACTGGCCAACGCGGCCGTGAATTGGTCACTTTTGGGAAAATATGAAGACAACAGCGGGGAGAGAGAAAGGAGAGCTGGTTTTTGAATAAGGAACACTTTCTTTCTCTAGGCTTTCAACCCAAAACACCAAAGGAGAGCCCATGAGAGAAAGTGTCTTATTCTTTAGATTTTAGAGAGAGAAAGGACGGACCAAGGGAGAATGAAAGCTAGGGATTGCTCGAAGTGGTGAATTGGGAAGAATCTCTCCAAGAGAAGATCAACACAAGCTTAGAGGATATTGGAGGCATCACCATGATGGTTTCTACCTCTTTCTCTTGTAGTTGTAGTGTAACTTGAATGATTGTTTATGGGTGTTGTTTAATTTAATGATTGAGGTATTTTCATGATGATTGTGCATGTGTGTGCTTAGAAATCGAATTGGCCATTCTAACCTAGGTTAGAGGGGAAACCCCCATTTCCAAAAGAGGCTCAATTGAGTTGGGATTCCTTGGGCTTGACAAGCCACCTACCTAGGTTAATGTAGGGCAAACCTCTATCTTGCATTAAGCAACTAGGTTAGTCATGATTAAGTCGTCCAACCATTGAATTGAGGGAGAAGGTAAGTCAACCATTAATTGTCTTAACCAAGAGGGCTACTCTTGTAGCCTATAATGTATCCCCTAGTTTGGCAATTGAGAGTGGGGTCTTCGACCACAGTTGCGCCTCCTAGCGATTCATGGTTGCCTTGCCCATAACATCCCATTCGAGTCTACGTGCCATTGTAGTAGTTAGGGGGAAGCGATATCTGAGTGATCCTTCTCATCTAGAGCTTTCAAACCATTTACCGTTGCTTTTTTTTGATTTAAATTTCATAGTTTTCAACAAAAAACTAATTCGCTAGATAATGCCTCAAACAATTGAAGTAGGGGTACATGGACCGGCCCGTGTTGATATTTAAATATAGGCTTAATTGCAAGTTTGGTCACTCGAATTGCTACAAAATTTCATGTTTGGTCACTCGAATTGATTTATTCCATTCGTAGTCACTTAAATTAGTTGACCAGTCCAACTTTGGTCACTCTCCGTTAGTACCGTCAGTTAACTGCTGACGTGACTAACAGAGGTGCTTAGTCATCCTATTTTAACCCAAACAAAAACATGCCACATCATTAAAAAAAAAAACCGACCCATTCACCTGTTCCCCCTCTCCTTCACCCCTCTTCTTCCCAAATCGTGTGCTCCTCTCCGATCACCGGCTTCCTCGTCACCTCCTCTCCATCCTCCTCCGCCGCCTCAACCGCCTTCTCCTCCGCCGTCGAATCCCACAAAAGCGGTTCGTCAATCGCGCCCTACACCCGCTCAATTTTGGCTTCGGCCGCGGTGATTCTCAATCCGTTGACCAATTTGTGGACCGGTACGGCTAGCGGCGACGCGAGGAGGACGAGGAGAGTGATTCCGAACCCTAGGGAGTGTCCTCGGGTCGGATTGGGGGTGAAATCGTAGGCCAGTTGGAGGAACACGACTGCCACAGCGACGACATTGAATGCGGAGAAGTATTTCCCCTCTTCCTTCTCCTCCGCCATAGTAGTGGCCGGCCGGATTTCGCGGAGGAAGAAGACGGCGGCGAGGCAGACGAAGAAGGGGACTAAGGCCAGCATGAGGAGGAAAGTCGTCGGATCGTCGGAGAAGAAGGCAGAGCAGAGATCTGTGAAGATTGCGGTCGACAACCCGACGAATCCTTTCAAGATCCAGGAGACCGGCCCGCGGTTGCGGCGGAAGTTGCGGATGCAGGTGACGAGCACCGAGGTGTTCATCCAGGTCGTGCTGTTGCCGCTGAGGCAGAGGAAGACGCACATCTGCCAGTAAGGTAGAGGACTGATCCTGCCGCTGACGACGAGCCACTGGACGCCGTAGCCGATGAGGCCTTCGATTGAGCCGATTAGGAGGAGGACTGGAGTGGAGAATCGGTCAGAGGCGAGGCCGGCGAGGAGGCCGAATGCCTTGCCGACGTCTTTAGCGACGGGGGGTCTGGGATTTCGGTGAAAATTAGGCGGTCAATAATAGGGTTTGGGAGATTGAATGGGGTCGGAGCTGGGGAAGAAGAGGGGGGAAGGAGAGGGGAAACAGGTGAATGGGTTGGTTCAGGGGTTCGGGTCAGGGGTTGATTGGGTTTGAGTGGACTTTTAAAATATGGAGGGGTTAATGATGTGGCATGTTTTTTTTTTGTTAAAATAGGATGACTAAGCACCTCTGTTAGCCACATCAGCAGTTAACTGACGGTACTAACGGACTTTGACGGAGGTTAACGGAGAGTGACCAAAGTTGGACGGGTCAACTAATTTAAGTGACTACGAATGGAATAAATCAATTCGAGTGACCAAACATGAAATTTTGTAGCAATTCGAGTGACCAAACTTGCAATTAAGCCTTTAAATATACTTGCCCTATATTGCCCCCATCTAAGGTTTATACTTGGGCCTTAGGTGGGAATTTGTTGTGATATTCGAGACGAGTCATCTACTCCATAGAGAAAGAGTAGAAAACAACAATCAGAGGAATCATACTCATAATGGTGTGTACGATAAGCTATAGGATGATAATCTTCACTACATGGATGAAATCCAAGCTTGATTGATGAAACCTAGCTCCAGAATAGATCCTAGGTTTGTTCTTCCCACTTTCTCTCTCTAGGACTCTGTTTTTGCTCTCAAAATTTGATTCCTCTCTCAAAGACCTGAAATTGGGTTAAAACCCAGAAAATCACGACCACACAGCCGTGTAGAATCCAGCCTGCTCGTGTAACTCCCAAAACGCGGCGTTGCACTTAGTTGGTCGAAGGAAGTCACACGGCCATCACACAGCCTTGTGGAATTAAGCCTTGCTTGTGTAGACCCCCTGGAAATTCCGTACGCCCAAAGTGTGCCTAGCCAATTTTGCTTGGCTGCGTAAAAATCAGATACGCGGCCACACCGTATGACCTTATAGAATCGTCTCTTGCCCGCGCACGGCAAGGACGGCACGGCCGCGTGAAAACTTGACTTGGCCGCATAAAATCATCAGCTTTCTGTCAAATGTCACCACTTCATCCAATCGACCCCGAACTTGTGCCCAAGCCTTCATTCACGTACTAGAACCTGAAATATCACGAACAAGAACAACCTAGCGTGAAATTGGCCTAAAACACAAGAGACGAGGCTTAAACAATATCAGAGTTATCATGGAACCTTTCATATCTTGAATGGTAAGAGTGCTAATGAACTCCATAACAAGCACCCGATAAATGTTTTCTTGAGTGCATAACCATTTAAGCCACTCCAACTTCTGAATCTTGGATTGGATTTCATCCTCAATCCCAAGCTGTGCGAAGAGTATCCAGTTGAGATATGTACTCTTGCCTAGAGGAAGTCTTTGAAGCCACAGAAGTTTGGTCTTAAATTGCTTGGGCACATTGTCCAAATAATAGTGAGTGATGCACTCTATGATGCCTCCATCATTGGCTTCATTATATTGATGGTTCAGCCTTGGTAGATGGGGGTAGAGTGATGGTGGATGTGGTTCTTCGACAACTACTTGCTTTGGCCTGGATTTACTTTTCTTCATCCAATGGCCTTGGCGAGGGTGAGAAGTTTGAGAACGCTCCATATTAGAAGAACTCTCTCCACGGGCCATCTCCTTAGCCTTGTAAATTATCCTTCAAAACAAGTAGTACAAAATGCACAAACCATCAATCCAAACATAACATACCATAAAAAGGAATATTCAAAGAAATCTCATCAACCCTCTAAGTCCCCCCCCCCCCCACTTGAGTGAGACTAAGGCGCGCACAAAAGAGAGGACTTAGATGAAGATGAAGTTCAATGATAAGGAAATATGCTAGGGTCTCCCCGAACAACACACAATCAAGTAAACAAGAGCTAACAAGTGCATGGAAGTTAATGCTCAAATTAGTAGGATTGAAGAAAATGGGAACTATGCAGTTGGGGACATCTACGAACACTTGGTGGGCGGTCTTTGAAAATTAAAAAAATGCATGAAAATAGCCCACCAGGCACCAAGGTCTCCCAAGATGCATAACAAGAATATTAAAGCAAAGAAAACAATTCTATGGCATTTCAAGTCCTCAAAGCATGCAACACATGTTTAGCAAAACAATGTAGTTAAAATATGGAGAAATGAAAAAGTGTACCTTATCTTGCTAGGAGACATGTTGGAAATTCAAAAACAATCAAAATTACTTCTCAAAAGATGTTAGAAAGTGAAATAGAGAAGGTATGCTCAAAAAGCTAAGAGAGGTGGAGAAACATTGTGTTTATATCTTAAATATGAGATGGAGAGACAACACATGAATTCAATGTGAAGCTTGCCCTTAAATAAACACGAGCAAGATCATGGGCTGTTGTCACGAGATCGCGACCCTGATCTGATCTCTGTTGTGGCAATCGCGATCTTTGCCATGAACACAAACATAATGTTTTCACCCACTTCTTAAACTTAATCATTCATCTAAAGCAATCATACATCCAAAGACAAGGCGAGGAAAGGGTAAAGTACTACATCTACACAATTTTATTCCTCTACTTAATCAATTATTCAACAAGAAAAAGAAGGAAAAGAAACGCGAACTGAGTTGTTGGGTTTCCTCCCAACTAGCGAGTCTTTTAAAGTCTTTTTGCCGGACTTGACTCCTTGAAATCAAGAGGTGAGAAATCCATTCTCTAGTGATGATTCCTCGTGAAAATTATCCTTGTGGTGATGTCCCAAGTGAAGCCCATGGAGTCTCTCGGATGCCGCATCTGATGCTTGAGATTCGAAAGACATGTCTAGAGATTGGTGCCCATGATTGAAGGAACAGAACTCCCTTGTATAAATGTCCTCATCCGTGAATGGCTTATAGCATTCCCCGAATTTTTCATCTTCAAATATAGGAGCTAGTTTGTTCTTAACATTTCGAACGCTTCTTTGGGGTATCTCTCTTCAAAGATGAATCTTCTAAGTTTCCTTCAATGGTCATTGGCTTGATGAGAACATTTGAACAACTGACTCGTTCTTAGTACACATCCCAATCGACGACCAAGTATAACCGCGAACCGGGTGTAGCATAGGGCAAGCAAACAATAATAATTTATCGTACCATGGGGATCTAGGCTTACCCTACTTCAGGTTTAGGGCTTGTTATCTAGCCAACATAGGATGGTGATTAGAAAGACTAAACTAACTAACCTAGACTTACCACTAACCTAGCTATCTACAAGGTTGGGAGCTCTCTTGGGTTGAATCCTCCTATCTCCGTCGTAGGATCGATGTTGAGTACCATCATAGCTCGAACGAATCACTGCCCTACCGTTAGGAGATGAACTCCCTCGGGACGAACCCGAAACGGTGAAGTAATGGACGAGTGGTTCTGTATTCAACCTAGGACACCCCTATATCGTAGGAGCTGGATCCAATCCACTCCCTTGGGGATTACCCGTACGATATAGGGTGAGGAGTGACCCGAAGAAGACAAGAAAGGGGCTCTAAGGGGATTTTCTCCCTCCTAGGTCAAAAGCTCAAAACATGAAAATGGAATCCAAGCTCATGCCATTCAAGAAAACCATCCATAACTTAGATAATAAACTCAATCAAACATGGATTTGTCACATACAACAACACCCAATCAAAATCTAGACCTAGGGTTCTTAAACCCAAGAGAAGAGGGTGATTTTCTAGAGAGAGAAGAGAAAAATTACGAACAAAGCACAAGATCTTCTTCTTTTTCTTTTAGGCATGATTCCTTGCTTCCAAACTTGATTAATGCCTTCAATTAAGCTCCAAGATCACTCAAGAACTCACACTCTCTCTCTAGAACTCCCCTTTGGTGTTTTGGGTCGAAACCCTAGAATAATAAACTAATTCCTCTCCAAAAACCAGCTCCCCTTTCTCTATTCCCACTGCTGTCATTATATTTTACCCGACAGTGCCGACTTCAAGGTCTGGGGCTTCATTTCACGGTCTTAGAGATCGTGAACTGACTTTAGTCTAGTGAGACTGCAAACCGCTCTGGAAATTGGCCACTTCACAGTCTGTGGCTGATTATCACGGTCTTAAGACCATGATAAATGAGTCTAGACCGTGAAGTCATCAATTCACTCCCTAGGGGGTGATTTTCAAGGTCTCAGGGCGTGACATTTACCTCCAACCCATGAACAATGCTCAACCTCCACTTTTTGGCTTGTTTTGACCCCGAATAACTCGAAACTCGTCTTGGATCATCCCACACGTGCTAGGACCTGACATGTAAAAAAACAAGCACAACCTAGCGTAAAATAGGTCGAGGGACGGTGATCTACTAAGCAAAACGAACAAGAAATGAGGGTTAAAATGTGTAGAATTGGACCTGAATCGCACCCCCACACTTGAACGTTTGCTTGTCCCCAAGCAAACCAAGTACAAAATAAGGTAAGCTTACAACTTCTTTTTCAACAAAATTTTTGGGCATGTCATAGGGCCCAAAACAAAAGAATCACAATGGTTATTTCGACACCAACCTATGGACAAAAACAAGGTAATCTCGGCAACCACCACAAACGACATTCAATTGTATTAAGATTGTGCAAAATAAGAGTTCTCACATTATTCACAAACCAACACACAACATCCCTCGATGACTCACCAATCATAGTTATTCATGCATGAAGATCACATCATAGGGACGAACGAGCGACCAACCTAGGTCCTCATCAGGGTATAAGACATGAACAAAACATGATGAATGAATCACTCACTCTCGACCAGTGGGGAAGGACCATTTGATGCAAAAGATGTGCATATGCACGCTCAATCCTAACGTCCCTTTACCATGACGGCAACCACTAAATGTTAGAGCTCAAAAGATGGGTGTCGTTGCTAGCTTGTCCGGAGGATTTAGACACGGGTTCAAATGACTGGCTAGTGTCTAGGGCATGGGGAAAAGTCTTTTTGGGTGGTGGCAAACATAACATGAGACTCCACATCTTCAACCTAAACGAAAACAAGGTTCTAT